CAGTTAAGCATTGCTACCTTGACAATGCAGCCTGTTCATTATCATAGTAAAATACAGTCAGACAAACATATGGAAAAAACTATGTAGTAAAAGAAATATGTAGTAAAAAATATGTAGTAAAATCTGTGCCGTTAAGTGTCATCACAGTACCGCCGTGATGTTATGCAAAACATTTTGTTTTACGTGGATATTGGAATGTGAGTGAAGTACATAATAAATAATAATTTGCCATTCAAATATGGAAACATTTGATTTTGTGTGGAATGAGAGACCCAACGTTGGTTTCAGTTTCGTTTGAACCTAAATGAATTCGTTTCCCCCCTAAAAAACACATTTTTTATACACGTAGCGCATTTTAACCATGCAGAAAAGTTTTAAATATTTTGATAAATTACTGAAAATAAATAATTAAATGACTTTTTAAACCATTTAACTGATTGTATTAATCGGTCAAAATTCTTACCGTCGGTTAACCGGTTAAATAAGTGTCATCACAGTACCGCCGTGATGTTATGCAAAACATTTTGTTTTACGTGGATATTGGAACGCGAGTGAAGTAGGCTACATAGGCTAATAAATAATAATTTGCCATTCAAATACATTGCGAATACGGAAACATTTGATTTTGTGTGGAATGAGAGACCCAACGTTGGTTTCAGTTTTGTTTTAGCCTAAATGAATTCGTTTTGGCTTGTCGTTTATATTGCTATAGCTTCTTATATTTTTAATTCTTGTTCTTTTCTAAATACTGTTAACTGAAAGGATTTGTTGTGGAGTGAGGGGAACAGTGTTTATTATAATGTTTGTAAAAATTTCGCGTCGGCAAATTATTTCTGAATGAAATAATAAAATGCGACTTACACTCGACTTGTTTTTTATACGCGTAGCGTATTTTAACCATGCAGCAAACCGTTTAAAATATTTTGATAAATTACTGAAAAAATAAATAATTAAATTACTTTTTAAACCGTTTAACTAATTCTTATCGTCGGTTAACCGGTTAAACTGAACATCCCTAAAATTAACTGCTTTACAATGATCAAGATTGGAAGTGAGCAGTAGTGAAATAAAACTAGAAAGCTCCCATTAAAAGCATTCAGACAGCTTGATTATAGAGGGAGTGATGTAGTTTTGACTGCACAGACATGCAACTGACTTTCTAAATAACTCTGGATTGCAGTGGCGTACCACTCATAGTCTCACTGATGTGCAGTAGACCAGACTTTGAGTATCCCTGGTTTATGTCATTGTATGCTGTTCATCATTTTATATGAAGATAATGTATAATGTTTCTTTATATATTGTCTATTTAATATTGTATGTATTTATTATGCAAGCATTAAATGAGTCATACATGAGTCTGAAGGAAGTGTAAGTCTTAGGTTATACTAAGGTGAGTTTCAGGTGAGCCTGATGTGAGTCACACACTTAAAAATAAAGAACTGTGTACCGGAGGAGCCAGAAGGGGGCGGAGCTCCGGTCTTCTGCCATAACGTGGCCTCTGCCGCCAGTCGTCTCACATACACCTCATTCACATCCAGCAGGATATTCTCTGGCTTTATGTCTGTGTGGATGATCTTGCATTTCGTGTGCAAGTAATCCAAGCCCTCGAGAACCTGGAGGAGAGAAATAAGACACATATGAATCAGTCCCACGCTTTTGATGGAGTTGCAATGTGTATACCGTACACTAGGGATGGGCGATATGGGCTTAAAATTTTATCACGATAATTTCTGATATTTATTGCGATAACGATATCAATGAAGATAATTTAGGGAATCCTGTTTCTTTAGAGAAAAGTATTATCTTTCCTATTTTTACCCAAAATAGGGTGTTGTGAGCAGTATACACGTAATGTTTAATTAATACTGGAAGCTGGAGGGCACCCTTTCGCAGGAACTCCACATATGCATAGTAGAAGTAACGCTCCAGGAAATCCCTAATATGGACAAAGGTATCCAGTGATCGCTGTAGCTGAATAAAACAATAAAACGCAGATAGAGAAATTTTAACTGAGGAAACCTGAAGACAATAAACATGCGAATTCACAAAATACACTGTGTGCACAATTATTAGGCAAGTGATGATTTTGACCATATCATCATTTTATCCATAATTTCCAAGTCCAAGCTGTATAAACTTGAATGCTTATTGGATTTAATGCATATCAGGTGATGTGTATTTGTGTAACGAGGGAGGGTGTGGCCTAAGGAGATCAACACCCTATATCAAGGTGTGCATAATTATTAGGCAGATTCTTCTCCTCAGGAAAAATGGGCCAAAAAAGAGATTTAACTGACTCTGAAGTTATTTCAAACACTCGACTATGTTATGAAGTTAATATAGAGAAAAAGCACGTCAATAAATAATATCTTTGTTGGACAACTGGTTTGTAAACAGACTCATACACATGTAAAACTGTATCGCACACATGCTACTGTAGTACATTTACTCAAGGCTCAGACTCATTTTTGTCGCACTGTACAGCCCTATCCAAACCTGTTCCAGATTGTAGAAGGAGCTGCTCATCAATTTCATGTCCGCCTTTCTTCACGTCACTCCACACAGATATCGCCCATCCCTACCGTATACTGGTAAAAATAAGTGAGAAATTGATGTTGCTATTTGACTGGACATTATTGTAGGATATCAGACCGAATCAGACAATCTAAGATGTGATCA